GCAGTACTCTCTAAACCAAGAACCAAGAACGAATTTTAGAAGATTATACTTTATTGGCTGCTCAAACACAGCTCCTTTTGTTAAGAGTCAGCATTTGTAGCCCACAGAAATTAACACTTGTTTTTGCTTTTTTAGGGCCTCTTCTGATGAGCCCGGTAATCGGGCTAGCCTGGTCAGCGGGAGGAGTTTAGTATTCAGTTCATAAGAGAAATGTCAGCCCGGTTACCAAGGTAACGAGACGAGTTTGTACACGAAATATTTCAACTGAGAAAGTGTATGAGAAAAGCGCCTTAACCATCCACGCCTATCAGCTTTGTCGCTCATCTTTCATGGTCGTTACTTCATCGTTTCTTCTTACTTATTGCAAAATTGTTTATATATTGAAGAATCCAGGAAGTTTGGAATGTTTTCTTGCTACGAGTTCCGTGCATCCAGTTCTCGCTTTTAGTTCTCCTTCCACCCGTCCTATTCACGGATCACCCTTGCCCTCATTGGTGATACACTTCGCCTCCCCATCACAGATGCAATCTTTCTCTCTAATGCTGATTATCATCACGGACTGAACGTGCATCACAGCCTGCAGTAAATACATAATGTCTCCACTTCCTCTACAGGTTTCATTGCTTGGTGTGACTTTGACCCTCCAGTCTTCGAATCTGCACATAGAATTAAAAGAAATGGTGTTAATAGGTTAACTGGTCAACACTTGAGATGTAAAATCGGCAAAACAATCTACCTCCTGTTCTTGCTCTGTCTCCTGGGATTTGATTTCCTCGAGACCTTTCTCAAAGCGTTGCTGTGGAATGAGGAAAACAAGAAATAATTAGTCAACTGAATTAAGGAATCACTTGGCTTGTTCTCAAGTTTGATGCCACCATTAACATATTGCTATCAAAAGATGGCGATTTGGGTCAATTTCGACATAATAAAATTCTTACATGGCGCAGAGGCTCACGAGACTGAACTAAAAGAAATCACATGAGGTCGAAGCACGAATAAACAATTTCTTTTGTCAAAGTCCCCTGAGCCTTCACAAAATGTTAATTTTTTTGAAATCACAGGTGATCAGGTCGTTACTTGTTACTTGCATGCAAAAACAATGCCTTGATAAAAGTATAGCACTAAGCCTAACCCCCTAACACCAAAATTACCTTAAGGAATAGATTAGAGGCTTCTCTAACTCGCGTCTCCTGCTCTATTCGAGCTGCTCTGATCTCATTTAGCTTTTCCCTTGCAGAATGTAACTGAGCTTTAGATTCTTTTTCATTCACTAAAAGAGATAATAATAAGCAAACTTAGCTTACATGATCTGTTAAAACGTTGCAAATGCATAATTAAGAAAAACTTTTCTTCATAATATGTTCTCTGGTCTTAAGAATATTGGGCCAGTGGATTAGTAGCAATCTTTTTTCTTAGAAAAGAGGGTGATGCGAAAGCACGTGTGAGAGAAAAAGTAGTGCAGGTATGACCACAGTTTATCTTGTGTTTTCTTAAGCAGCGCAGTTGACATGACAGACTAAGAGAAACGAAAGACTACTTGTAGTCCATTGGGGCAGCAGTAAGAGTTCATTTCTGGTTATTGGTTCTCTCAGCTATTTAAGTCATGTAACAAATATAAAAATAATAAAGTCTCAATGAGCTCAAGCATAAGGCATACCTTATGATAATGTACAGCTGACTAATTCACTTACTTCTTAATTCAGCGGATGGTTGCTCTTCCATTTCCACATCAATATTTATGTCATTGTCATCTCCATCATCTTCTTGAGTATCATCTTCATCTCCTTCCTCATCATCACTACTGGCCTCCTGAAGGATGGCGAACAGTTCATTCCTGTCCTCATCATCACTCCCACCATCCTGCTCTTCAATTTGAGTTCCAGACAGAGGTGACGGCATGGATGTGTTGAGTAATTCAGCATCTAATACAACACTACAACAAACAATATATTAATAGACAAATACATGACTGTATACTGACATACTGGAAGCAGTCCCTAGACAAAATGGTTCAGTTGTTTTTCAACTTTTCAAAGATACCATTGAATAAGGAAACTACGTGTCATCTGCACTTTTCACATAAATGCCAAAATAAATTGATTTGTGCAGTTATAATCTAACTAGTTACAAAAACATGAAGGGAAAACTGATATCTTGATGACTTTGTGGACTCTTTGTATTCTTATCCTGTGTCACAGCCACCCTTCCCAAAAAGAAAAATAGAGACGCGCTTGTGTGTTGCCATTGTTAATCATGTTCAAGGCACGTGAATTTTCTAGGGAAGAGTGAAAAATGACCTGATTGGTTGACCCATTGATCGATGAAGTGCAGTAAATTATTGAACTCAATGCCTTATGTTTTATCGGTCACGATGACAAATATTTAGAGAGTTGGCGATCAAGACCACAATCAAAATTTGTTACACTTTGTGTATGACATTTAGATTTACAACATAAATTATTTTGAAGTTTAAAAGCCAGATTAACGGTGGTAATCAGCGTTTTATGTAGACAAGATTATTCTGCGAGCGGCCTGTTTCTTTATCTTGAATGCCAATTGAAAGTCATTAACCATCTCATGCAAAGATAACATGCAGAGAGCAAGTTTCTTTGTTGTCTCGGTGTGCCACGTCAGCTGTTGTGTCACTGAAATGGTTTTTATGGGTGGATAATTTATGCAAGGAACACGATTATCAATGGCAACACACAGATGCTTTCTCCAAATTTTCTTTCGGAGAGGGTGGCCACGACACAGACTAACTGTACATCTCAAATAATGCGCTGTCACTCCATTATCCTGATGAAATCAATTGAAAATTTAGTAATCCAATTTACTTGCACTGATTTCATGGATTAACCTACACAAGGCTTGAAGTTAACTTTTTGGACCACTTGCAAAGTTTTGCTAGTAAGATTTTTTTCCACTAGCGAACTGGTGAAACCACTAGCAAATTCTTTCCCCTTGAAACTTCAATGACCATATCTGATATAAAGATTAGAATTGATTTTCCATACAGTCTGTTAATGAGCTGAAAAGTTAAAAGAAAGGTATTAAATGTTTGGTCTCCTTTATCGTTGTCCTGACAACCACCACCTATCTACTGCAGCTCTGGGGTGATAATCAGTCTGTTTTTTTGGGCCCTTTATTTTCACTCTAATCAGCATGTCCATGGTGTTAGTACCCAAGGCCCAATGCCAGTCTGACTTCACTCTCTTCATTGTGGAAATTCCTCGTTCACAAGCAGCATTTGCTGTGTTATTTCTGTTGGATCCCAACTTCAAACTCTTGTTCTTTGGTGGGTTGAGGTCTTCATTGCTACTGGCACTCGTGTTAGAGGTTGAGGTGCCAAAGGGCTTTTTGAAGAAAGAAGTTATTTTTGACATATGTAATGAAAACGATAGCTCCAGAATCACAAGGGACGACAACAACACCCAAATGTGCAGTTGTGAGACAGAGCCTTGCTGTAATACTGCTGGCCAGTGGCTAACAAAAAAACACTTGCCCTTCTTAGCTCAGCATCTGCTGTTTTATTTGGCTCAGATGTCACCCGTACATTCTTTCTTGCGTTGGAACAGCTTTCTCCAAATGTTTAGGAGACATGGATGATTCTAACTCGTAAATGTTTGCTAGTGGATATTTTTCTCACTCACAGATTATCAAAATCACTCGCATTTTGCGAGTTTGCAAGCATTAATTTTGAGCCCTGCAATACGTAAGTAATTAAATGCAAACTCAACAACAGTTACAAAAACAATGTAAACGTGGAGTCTGCTTTTGTTTGGAAACCAAACATGATTGAACATAAATGTGTTTGAGCATGAATGGCCATTTTGTGGCCAAGTTTTTGTACAAAACTTGATCACAGAATTCCCTCAGTTACCTTTCGTCTGGTTTCTCTTCATCTTGTAGGACCTCAAAGCTTATAGTGCATTAAGGAGGTACAACTGAGAGTCAACTTAAAGGCCTTGACAAAATCCAGCCTTAGGTGTCCAACATTACTATCAGTGTTCCTGCATGAATGGCAAATAGTTTAAAACCAGATGGAAAATGTACTTACAGGGCAAAAACCTTGCAATAACCATCTTGGACTTTGTGTATTCTAAAATATATTTGACTTTTATAAATTACGACAAAAATGACATCATTATTAATATTGAGCTTTCCTTAACATCAGCAACTTAGAAAGGATATTGACATTAGAGGCACTCAGATCAGTCCTTAGCAAACGTTTGACTTCCTTTTCAACTTCTGGGGACTCCACTAACTATAAAACAATAGTGAAGGTTAATAGTCATGTTTCATGCTTGTTTCAGAGTTCATTTTTGATCTGTTAAAAGAGGCCTCAAGATTTTTTTTTCTATTGTGGGGAGCCTCTGTGAAAAAAAATCTTTTCCTGTAGTAGTCTTAGTACTTTAGTTTGACAGTCCTTCTGTTACATTTTATGCTTGCCAAAACAGAAGTCAGTTACTGTGGAAAGCCAGGTAGTGGCATACCAGCCTCTACCACTTGTTGGATCTTAAATAAATACATGCACAACTATTTGCATATTACTACTGAATTGTACAAACATCGCTAATAAACAAGGGTCTAATTAGATGTACGTTCCTCATCAATTTCAATATGACTTATATAAAGTACAGATGAACCTAGCAGGAGAAAGTCAGTGGCACTCTCTATAAGCAATCCTCTGAGGCAGATTAGTTAATAAATTTCTTCCAACAGTATTTCCATTAACAGATACCTTTTTCTTTGCTGTTTTTCTAAATCGTCGCTTGCGGACATTCTTCAGTGGACCAGTAACTGAAAGGATTAAGAACTATTTTAATTATACACTGAAAATGATTATTAACCTCTATTTTATGAGATACAGATAATTCTGCATTGGGATGTAAGTAAATATGAACTGCCACAATAGGCCTTTTTACTGTAGCTTGGGCAGTTTGTTGCCCCATTTCATCATGGGATGATACTCTTGAGAATTCTTGCTTTCAAATATTCAAATAGTTGCGTGTATGTGAATGAACAATTTTTAGATAGATAAAAGAACAATTCTCTAGAGAAAATCACATGATCTGTGATGGGAAAACAAACTGCCCAAGCTAAGAGGCTCTAGACTATTATGTACATAACTTGTATGTACCATTTATACAGATTCATCTGCAATCATACCCAGGTTCAGAAGTTTGCTAACAACCAAGATTAGGGTACACACATTAAGCCACAGTTTGAAAAAAAAAATACTGTTGTTACGAGGACTATCTTGTGAAAAAATGACACAACCTAGTACAATGCATCTATAAAACATTTTAACTAGTACACAATTGCAACTATCATAAAATACATACTTCCATGATTCCAAATAAATCTCTTGGATTCCTTCTTGGGAGAAATGTTCTCATCTTCTGTTAAGCTGTCATCATCACAACAAACTAGCATCTACATGTAGAAATGCCCAACAAATTCCACATTTTGTTAAATATCTCTTCATTTGCATATTAAGGTATTTTTTCATCAGTCTTTACTTCCCATCTGTATATCTTATGATAATCTTTTGGCTTGGCTTGACTTGACGGTTTCTACCTTTGGCCATGAGGCTTTCTGAGTTTGGTTCCTTAAAGAGTTCTTAATTTAGGTTTATGGAGATCATCTTAAGCTGCTACTTACATTACCTTGAGAAACTAAGACATTTTTAATGCATAATTATGTCTCAGACACTGTGAGTTATGGCAAGTCAGTGCATTAACTCATTTGTGAGTAAAAAGAAATCCTATTATCATTTCAATTAATGCATTTGTTTCGCCCCCCCCNCCCCCCCCCCCCCCCCACCCTTCTCCAAATTCAATGTTGTGTAGGCACCGTGGTCTGTGTACTCTAAGAAATAAAAAAATCGACATTGTTTGGGAGGAACAGGGGAAAATGTTTCCAAGATGCTTGAATATTCAAATTTTACTGCCAACTGTCTCAACACTTTTGTTGCCCATTGTATCTTGCAATAGAGGCTCGTGCAGGGGAATATCATTAAAAAGAGATTAATGTCATTTTCATTTGAAAAGACTCCCAGGATCAGCCTCAGTTGCAAGCTAGTTCCAGTTCAATACCGAGAATACGAATATCACCTATTAGTGGACCACTAGTAGCCAGCTAGTTTTCACAGTACAATAATAAGTTATTGATTGATTGATTGATTGATTAATTGATTGAACGAAGGATTGATTAAGGGCATTGAGTGAATGGAGTTTTGGTCTGGTGTTAAAACAGTACCTGGCAGATGTCTGCAGTCTTGTAGAAGCTTTTGCTGTCCACTGTCTTGTGAGATTCTATTATGCTTGGCAGATCCACAAGCTATTACAAAGAAGAGCAAAGCATGGTATTCGCTTGTTAAAGAAGCTCATCTGATTTCTTTTTTAAGACTGATCAGAGCCTCTCTTTTAACAGAAAATTGAAGAAAAATGTACAGTAGATGGGTGTTGAAACTCTTTGAATCACAGTGTAAGGTAAAATGTAAGAAGTTTTAAGGGTAAGTTTCACAAGTGAAGGTGAAGGACATAAAAGTCATACAAATGTACAGTAGATGGGTGTTGAAACTCTTCGAATCCTTGGCATTTATTTGAAGTCCACCATGTATTTGTACTAGACCTTATTGATGTGGTTGATTCAAAGACTGCTACATGTAACAACAGCCCATTGGGTACTTAGCAGAAATCCCAGAAATTTCTTTGGAAAACAAATGAAACGGCAATTTTCTGAGAAATAAGTTTGGAAATTGTGAAGCTATAGTTTTAGTAAAAGAATGCTTTGCAGTTTGTGTCAAAACTAACCCTACTTCTAAGTCTGCCTGCACAAATTATAAACAATGATCACAAAACTTAAATAAGTTTACATTCTTACCTTAGCTGATAAAGCTGTCCCATCAAATCTGACTGTTGCATGTCTATAGTCGGCTTTAAAACATTTTAAAGATATGTATGATTAAAATGAAGAAAACTATATTTAAACCCGGTAGACATGAATAACCACAAACAACAAATCAAAAAAAAAAAAAAAAACCGTATGAAACTGACCTTGAAACTCAATCGAAAGCCTATCTTTTAACGTGCCATTCTGGATTGCAAGACTTAGTGCTGACGCATAAACCTGTAAAATAATGCCTTCGAATCACTGACTGTCTTGACATATCAGATCACTGATTACAAAAGTTGAACAGATCGAACTGTTTCAGCTTTCGACAAGTAAAGCATGATGATCATAAAAACTACAGAAAGTCGCGACAACTAAATATGTCAAACAGTAGTATTAGATTGACGCCTGCCCTTGAACCAACTCATCTTACCTGAGGCACACGTAAAATAAACTGGTTTTCCAATTCACCTCCATCAGACCTTGCTTTCGAAGACATAATCTACATTCAATCCGCCATTTTCTCCGCTAATGCCGCATGGAGTGATGGGTAGTACTCGTACGTTCTCACCAGGCTTCCGACTTCATGAGGTCTAGGGTTGGAGATGTGGGAGGCAAATTTCCCGCTTCGTGATGTTAATTTATAAATTTAACTAGTTAGCTACCCTATTCCACAAGCGGGCCTTCAGGCTTGGAAATGAGATGTTATTATATAGATACGAGTGTTTTACTGGAAAATACACCACTCGTAAAATTCATACGAAGCCAGGAGCCCAAGGACTCCTGACGAAACACATCAGGGACCCGAGTGACATATTTACCATATCCTCACTAGTGAGCGGAGGGCATTGATGAACCGATGATATCATTTCTCGCTTTTTACAGTTGTTTGTGGAAACAGTCAGTTCATCTCTATCATAAAAAGAAAATTACACGGTGGCTTGAAGATATGAATTTTATTTTCTCGTGTTAAAATTTAAAAACAGTATTTTACTCTCTCTCTCTCTCTGCGCTCGTTCGTAAAATATCGTTTTTACTACTCGAAAATTAAATAAAATTCATATCTTTGAGCCGCCTTGTAATATCCTCCATATGGATAACCAACAAGGCGCGTATTAAACCCTGAGTTAGCTATAATCATCCCATACGTCCAACAAGCGCGAGTGGAATAATTGTTTTACTTATTAAAAACGCCCCCAAAATATAGAAAATTAAACTAAAATAAGGATAAAAACGCTCCAAGAAACGAAATATGAATCAACTGTAACCTTTGTAGGATAAAACACGGTGAGCCATAGAGTTAACCAACTCCAGCGATCCTACTTGTAAGTGATTTATATTGTTTCCGGCAATGAGGTTAGACACTCTGTAGATCGTATCACTGCAACGTTAATATTGGCTCAGCTGTCACCTTCTTTTTTATTCCAGTTATTTGCAACACTAATCAGTCATTTTTATGGGAACGATTTTGCTGTTTCCTTCCGCAGGTGAACTTTTCACCCACGACCTACAACCCACAAACCACCTACCCATCTCCGGTAACGAGATTAATCCAGAAGTTATTACGAAGGTATTAGGCACGTAATGTAACGCATTACGCGGGTATTTGACTAAATTTGTTCATAAATTAAATGTGAATCAAAACTGGTGGTTTTCCCGTCCCGAAACGTTTTGGCAGTTTCTTTTTCTGAGCCAAAATGTGTAACACTGATTTTACATCCCAATTTACACAATTTGTTGATTTCTTCCTCCGGAATTTCCGGCACACCGGATCTGTTTCACATGCCACACGTTCTGCAAGTTCTTTTCCGGCACGAGGACGAGGCAAGTATTAGCGGAAGCCACAAGTTTTCAAGATGGCTGCAGTAGCGAGCGACGCGGCAACAATGTTAGCTGAAGCCCTACAGCAAATGGACGGGCTTATCTCCGACGACCAACTCATCATGGAAAGCTTAAAAAGTCAAACTTATTCTTGCTCGAGTAAAGATAAAGTTCTTTCCTTGGTTGAAGAACTAAGGGGGAAACTAGAAGACATGACACGCGATGCAAAGCTGACGATAGAGGTTCCCGGTTCAACCATCGACTTTCTCATTGGCTGGCTGAATTCTCTACAAAATGTAACTATTCTTAATCGGTGAGGTGATTTACCTTTTAAGTTTTCATGCAGGTTTTGAAACAAGTTGTCATGCTCTCGTCTTTAGGTAACGTCCAAAGATGAACAGCGAAGTGGCGAACAGCTGACGAACTGTGAAAGGCAGTCGTTACAAATCAGCAGATTAGAAGACGAAAAAGAATCTTTGATCTTGCAAGTTAGCGTGCTGACTGATCAGGTCGAAGCACAGGGAGAGAAGATTAGGGATTTGGAGTTTACTAAGGAGGAGATGCAAATAAAATTTGAAGAGGCAGAGCAATTTCTTGAAAGCGTGAGTGTTTTTGTGTCCGATTATTCCCTTAGAAGTAAGTCTTACGTATAAAACTAAGCCTTTTTTAATTGTCAACTTTTAGTTTTGACGTGATGCTAGGGGAAAAACTACTGGGGGTCATGTGCACTTTTGTGTTGGTCAGGGTTAGTGAATGCTCACAACTGTGGGCCTATATTAGTTGAGTGTTGACCGAGTACGGTCAAGTGTGTTTACATAGTTTACAGTTCAGTATTGGCCGTCACTTGATTGAATGAGTCAACTCACTCAGTCACATGTAAATCTGAATATTAGTGTATCAACCGAGAATTTAAAAAGGTTGGGTATTGACTAACTCCTAGTCAACTGTCAGTTGACAGCTGTCACTGCTTGGATGTTGCTGTAGAATATGAATGGTTGTCCTGAAATAGTAAGAACTTATGGGTTTGATTTCAATTAAAAATGACTTGTTTCAGAATAAAACAATAATGTAGCAACATGTAGAATTTTAGAAGTGATTCTTCAGTCTAGCCTGGTGGTAATGTATGTGGATGAGGGCCTACAAGCCAGCAACAATATAATATGGCCAATGTACGTATCAGTGTAATATATATTGACTGACACATCTTCTGATACTTGACTGCCCTTGTAAAATAGGTAATGGGATATTGGCGGGATGCTGGCGGGGAATCCTGCTGGGATCCCGGCAATATTTTGGCCGCCAGGAATGTTCCCGGTGGGAATCTTGGCGGGATCCCGGCAAGATTCTCGCCAGGAAGCGAAATTCCCAGCAACCAAAATCTCACCGGGATCCTGCTGCGAATCTCGCCGAGATTCTCGCCAGGAAGCAAAAATCCCGGTGGCCAAAATCTCGCAGGGATCCTGCTGCAAATCTCCCCGAGATTCTTGCCGGGAAGCAAAAATCCTGGCGGCCAAAATCTCGCCGGGATCCTGCCGCAAATCTCATCGAGATTCTCGCCAGGAAGCAAAAATCCCGGAAGCCAAAATCTTGCCGGGATTCCTAACACAAATCACAACAAGAACCTCAACGAGAAGCAAATTCCCAGCAGCCAAAATCTTGGTGCAATCTTGCCGGGAATCTGGCCAATATTCACAGCGGGAAGTGAGGTTCTTGGTGAGATTCACTGTGGGAATCTCGGCAAAATTTTAGACATGCTGCCACGAATTTCTTTTGGAGCCATCGTCTTTTAAATAAAGGTTGAAGCTTCCCAGTGTTTACATGCTTTAGAGTAGTTAAAACACAGACAAAACTAACTTAATTAAAAAACGTACACATATAGTGGTATGGCGGTTATATTTAATGCTACTTAAATTTGTTTTTAAAGATGTCAGTGACACAGAAAAATAGTGTCAACGATTTAAGAAGAAGAAGTTCTGGCAAAATTCATGGTGCAAGGTTTGAGGTTTAAAAACAGCTGGATAGCAAGAAAAACAAACTCATAAACAGACCCAAAACAACACAATTTAATTAATTAGCTAACAGATAAATTAAGTCACAGTTGTTTGGTTTGCAAGAAGATAAAATGTTCACCAAAGCTCATGTACACAAATTAGCATGATACACTTTACGCTGAAAGAAATGTGAATATTCTTGTGCTCAACACTTTGTGATATCTGCACGTAACAAAATGTTTAGTAGTAGAAAATCATTACTGAAATAACAACGAAAGGGAAACTAACCTCTCACTGAAGTGAAGAAGATAACGTGATCTACCAAGCTTAATCAGTTGAAGCCACGAAGAAGCAAATTTGCGTTCATAGTTTTCATGAATGACATTTCAAGCCTCATCAAAACTTAAGTCCGATAATCATAGCCTACCATAAGTGGTAACAGGTACAACTTCACCCCAGTGTGAATGGCTTTCATTCAAAATTTTTGTCTTCATCCGAAGTCCAGGTTTTGGAGTCTGGTAAAATTGTTCAGCATTTTTGCACACAGTTCCATCCAGGCTAGCTTGAAGAAGTCTTCACATGAAATTCCTCGCACAACCAACCTCCACAGTTTGATGCTCACACAGCTGGCATGCAATTTAAGCTTGCAACAACTTCAACAAAACATCTTTTCCCTGCAGAAAGGTCCTTGATGAAGTTTCGAAGTAAACAAACCAGGCAAACAAACAATTTTTCAGCTCCTTTCTGAGGTGGATTTTTTAGCAGCACTCGAAGAAGCTCTCAAACTTTCTCAAAGGTTTTCTCTCCTACTCATGGGATGGCATGTGCTTTGTCTCACATGATTTTAGTCAGCCAGTTGTATTGCTGGGCTAAGGGTCCATTAACCGATCTTTTCAAGCCGTTGCTAAGGAAAATTTAATCTCNCTAATACTTCCCTTTTGTTCATGTAAAAAGTTGCATTCCACTGAAAACAGGTTATTAAAGACACTTGCTTTTTTTTTGCAGGGAATGCCACTGGAAGGAACAGTCATGTCGTAATGCACAAACTCCCTTTTAGAATGCCACACTAGGTATTACTTAGGGATTCTGATGAACATTTACCCTTTAAAGGCTGGATGCCTTCCCCCCCCCCCCCCCCCCCCCCACCCTTCTCCAAATTCAATGTTGTGTAGGCACCGTGGTCTGTGTACTCTAAGAAATAAAAAAATCGACATTGTTTGGGAGGAACAGGGGAAAATGTTTCCAAGACGCTTGAATATTCAAATTTTACTGCCAAGTGTCTCAACACTTTGGTTGCCCATTGTATCTTGCAATGGAGGGTCGGGCAGGGGAATATCATTACAAAGAGATATATGTCATTTTCATTTGAAAGACTCCCTGCATTAGCCTCAGTTGCAAGCTAGTTCCAGTCCAATACCGAGAATATGAATATCACCTATTAGTGGACCATTAGTAGCCAGCTAGTTGTCACAGTACAATAATAAGTTATTGATTGATTGATTGATTGATTGATTGATTGATTGATTGATTGATTGATTAACTGATAGAACGAAAGATTGATTAAGGGCATTGAGTGAATGGAGTTTTGGTCTGGTGTTAAAACAGTACCTGGCAGATGTCTGCAGTCTTGTAGAAGCTTTTGCTGTCCACTGTCTTGTGAGATTCTATTATGCTTGGCAGATCCACAAGCTATTACAAAGAAGAGCAAAGCATGGTATTCGCTTGTTAAAGAAGCTCATCTGATTTCTTTTTTAAGACTGATCAGAGCCTCTCTTTTAACAGAAAATTGAAGAAAAATGTACAGTAGATGGGTGTTGAAACTCTTTGAATCACAGTGTAAGGTAAAATGTAAGAAGTTTTAAGGGTAAGTTTCACAAGTGAAGGTGAAGGACATAAAAGTCATACAAATGTACAGTAGATGGGTGTTGAAACTCTTCGAATCCTTGGCATTTATTTGAAGTCCACCATGTATTTGTACTAGACCTTATTGATGTGGTTGATTCAAAGACTGCTACATGTAACAACAGCCCATTGGGTACTTAGCAGAAATCCCAGAAATTTCTTTGGAAAACAAATGAAACGGCAATTTTCTGAGAAATAAGTTTGGAAATTGTGAAGCTATAGTTTTAGTAAAAGAATGCTTTGCAGTTTGTGTCAAAACTAACCCTACTTCTAAGTCTGCCTGCACAAATTATAAACAATGATCACAAAACTTAAATAAGTTTACATTCTTACCTTAGCTGATAAAGCTGTCCCATCAAATCTGACTGTTGCATGTCTATAGTCGGCTTTAAAACATTTTAAAGATATGTATGATTAAAATGAAGAAAACTATATTTAAACCCGGTAGACATGAATAACCACAAACAACAAATCAAAAAAAAAAAAAAAAACCGTATGAAACTGACCTTGAAACTCAATCGAAAGCCTATCTTTTAACGTGCCATTCTGGATTGCAAGACTTAGTGCTGACGCATAAACCTGTAAAATAATGCCTTCGAATCACTGACTGTCTTGACATATCAGATCACTGATTACAAAAGTTGAACAGATCGAACTGTTTCAGCTTTCGACAAGTAAAGCATGATGATCATAAAAACTACAGAAAGTCGCGACAACTAAATATGTCAAACAGTAGTATTAGATTGACGCCTGCCCTTGAACCAACTCATCTTACCTGAGGCACACGTAAAATAAACTGGTTTTCCAATTCACCTCCATCAGACCTTGCTTTCGAAGACATAATCTACATTCAATCCGCCATTTTCTCCGCTAATGCCGCATGGAGTGATGGGTAGTACTCGTACGTTCTCACCAGGCTTCCGACTTCATGAGGTCTAGGGTTGGAGATGTGGGAGGCAAATTTCCCGCTTCGTGATGTTAATTTATAAATTTAACTAGTTAGCTACCCTATTCCACAAGCGGGCCTTCAGGCTTGGAAATGAGATGTTATTATATAGATACGAGTGTTTTACTGGAAAATACACCACTCGTAAAATTCATACGAAGCCAGGAGCCCAAGGACTCCTGACGAAACACATCAGGGACCCGAGTGACATATTTACCATATCCTCACTAGTGAGCGGAGGGCATTGATGAACCGATGATATCATTTCTCGCTTTTTACAGTTGTTTGTGGAAACAGTCAGTTCATCTCTATCATAAAAAGAAAATTACACGGTGGCTTGAAGATATGAATTTTATTTTCTCGTGTTAAAATTTAAAAACAGTATTTTACTCTCTCTCTCTCTCTGCGCTCGTTCGTAAAATATCGTTTTTACTACTCGAAAATTAAATAAAATTCATATCTTTGAGCCGCCTTGTAATATCCTCCATATGGATAACCAACAAGGCGCGTATTAAACCCTGAGTTAGCTATAATCATCCCATACGTCCAACAAGCGCGAGTGGAATAATTGTTTTACTTATTAAAAACGCCCCCAAAATATAGAAAATTAAACTAAAATAAGGATAAAAACGCTCCAAGAAACGAAATATGAATCAACTGTAACCTTTGTAGGATAAAACACGGTGAGCCATAGAGTTAACCAACTCCAGCGATCCTACTTGTAAGTGATTTATATTGTTTCCGGCAATGAGGTTAGACACTCTGTAGATCGTATCACTGCAACGTTAATATTGGCTCAGCTGTCACCTTCTTTTTTATTCCAGTTATTTGCAACACTAATCAGTCATTTTTATGGGAACGATTTTGCTGTTTCCTTCCGCAGGTGAACTTTTCACCCACGACCTACAACCCACAAACCACCTACCCATCTCCGGTAACGAGATTAATCCAGAAGTTATTACGAAGGTATTAGGCACGTAATGTAACGCATTACGCGGGTATTTGACTAAATTTGTTCATAAATTAAATGTGAATCAAAACTGGTGGTTTTCCCGTCCCGAAACGTTTTGGCAGTTTCTTTTTCTGAGCCAAAATGTGTAACACTGATTTTACATCCCAATTTACACAATTTGTTGATTTCTTCCTCCGGAATTTCCGGCACACCGGATCTGTTTCACATGCCACACGTTCTGCAAGTTCTTTTCCGGCACGAGGACGAGGCAAGTATTAGCGGAAGCCACAAGTTTTCAAGATGGCTGCAGTAGCGAGCGACGCGGCAACAATGTTAGCTGAAGCCCTACAGCAAATGGACGGGCTTATCTCCGACGACCAACTCATCATGGAAAGCTTAAAAAGTCAAACTTATTCTTGCTCGAGTAAAGATAAAGTTCTTTCCTTGGTTGAAGAACTAAGGGGGAAACTAGAAGACATGACACGCGATGCAAAGCTGACGATAGAGGTTCCCGGTTCAACCATCGACTTTCTCATTGGCTGGCTGAATTCTCTACAAAATGTAACTATTCTTAATCGGTGAGGTGATTTACCTTTTAAGTTTTCATGCAGGTTTTGAAACAAGTTGTCATGCTCTCGTCTTTAGGTAACGTCCAAAGATGAACAGCGAAGTGGCGAACAGCTGACGAACTGTGAAAGGCAGTCGTTACAAATCAGCAGATTAGAAGACGAAAAAGAATCTTTGATCTTGCAAGTTAGCGTGCTGACTGATCAGGTCGAAGCACAGGGAGAGAAGATTAGGGATTTGGAGTTTACTAAGGAGGAGATGCAAATAAAATTTGAAGAGGCAGAGCAATTTCTTGAAAGCGTGAGTGTTTTTGTGTCCGATTATTCCCTTAGAAGTAAGTCTTACGTATAAAACTAAGCCTTTTTTAATTGTCAACTTTTAGTTTTGACGTGATGCTAGGGGAAAAACTACTGGGGGTCATGTGCACTTTTGTGTTGGTCAGGGTTAGTGAATGCTCACAACTGTGGGCCTATATTAGTTGAGTGTTGACCGAGTACGGTCAAGTGTGTTTACATAGTTTACAGTTCAGTATTGGCCGTCACTTGATTGAATGAGTCAACTCACTCAGTCACATGTAAATCTGAATATTAGTGTATCAACCGAGAATTTAAAAAGGTTGGGTATTGACTAACTCCTAGTCAACTGTCAGTTGACAGCTGTCACTGCTTGGATGTTGCTGTAGAATATGAATGGTTGTCCTGAAATAGTAAGAACTTATGGGTTTGATTTCAATTAAAAATGACTTGTTTCAGAATAAAACAATAATGTAGCAACATGTAGAATTTTAGAAGTGATTCTTCAGTCTAGCCTGGTGGTAATGTATGTGGATGAGGGCCTACAAGCCAGCAACAATATAATATGGCCAATGTACGTATCAGTGTAATATATATTGACTGACACATCTTCTGATACTTGACTGCCCTTGTAAAATAGGTAATGGGATATTGGCGGGATGCTGGCGGGGAATCCTGCTGGGATCCCGGCAATATTTTGGCCGCCAGGAATGTTCCCGGTGGGAATCTTGGCGGGATCCCGGCAAGATTCTCGCCAGGAAGCGAAATTCCCAGCAACCAAAATCTCACCGGGATCCTGCTGCGAATCTCGCCGAGATTCTCGCCAGGAAGCAAAAATCCCGGTGGCCAAAATCTCGCAGGGATCCTGCTGCAAATCTCCCCGAGATTCTTGCCGGGAAGCAAAAATCCTGGCGGCCAAAATCTCGCCGGGATCCTGCCGCAAATCTCATCGAGATTCTCGCCAGGAAGCAAAAATCCCGGAAGCCAAAATCTTGCCGGGATTCCTAACACAAATCACAACAAGAACCTCAACGAGAAGCAAATTCCCAGCAGCCAAAATCTTGGTGCAATCTTGCCGGGAATCTGGCCAATATTCACAGCGGGAAGTGAGGTTCTTGGTGAGATTCACTGTGGGAATCTCGGCAAAATTTTAGACATGCTGCCACGAATTTCTTTTGGAGCCATCGTCTTTTAAATAAAGGTTGAAGCTTCCCAGTGTTTACATGCTTTAGAGTAGTTAAAACACAGACAAAACTAACTTAATTAAAAAACGTACACATATAGTGGTATGGCGGTTATATTTAATGCTACTTAAATTTGTTTTTAAAGATGTCAGTGACACAGAAAAATAGTGTCAACGATTTAAGAAGAAGAAGTTCTGGCAAAATTCATGGTGCAAGGTTTGAGGTTTAAAAACAGCTGGATAGCAAGAAAAACAAACTCATAAACAGACCCAAAACAACACAATTTAATTAATTAGCTAACAGATAAATTAAGTCACAGTTGTTTGGTTTGCAAGAAGATAAAATGTTCACCAAAGCTCATGTACACAAATTAGCATGATACACTTTACGCTGAAAGAAATGTGAATATTCTTGTGCTCAACACTTTGTGATATCTGCACGTAACAAAATGTTTAGTAGTAGAAAATCATTACTGAAATAACAACGAAAGGGAAACTAACCTCTCACTGAAGTGAAGAAGATAACGTGATCTACCAAGCTTAATCAGTTGAAGCCACGAAGAAGCAAATTTGCGTTCATAGTTTTCATGAATGACATTTCAAGCCTCATCAAAACTTAAGTCCGATAATCATAGCCTACCATAAGTGGTAACAGGTACAACTTCACCCCAGTGTGAATGGCTTTCATTCAAAATTTTTGTCTTCATCCGAAGTCCAGGTTTTGGAGTCTGGTAAAATTGTTCAGCATTTTTGCACACAGTTCCATCCAGGCTAGCTTGAAGAAGTCTTCACATGAAATTCCTCGCACAACCAACCTCCACAGTTTGATGCTCACACAGCTGGCATGCAATTTAAGCTTGCAACAACTTCAACAAAACATCTTTTCCCTGCAGAAAGGTCCTTGATGAAGTTTCGAAGTAAACAAACCAGGCAAACAAACAATTTTTCAGCTCCTTTCTGAGGTGGATTTTTTAGCAGCACTCGAAGAAGCTCTCAAACTTTCTCAAAGGTTTTCTCTCCTACTCATGGGATGGCATGTGCTTTGTCTCACATGATTTTAGTCAGCCAGTTGTATTGCTGGGCTAAGGGTCCATTAACCGATCTTTTCAAGCCGTTGCTAAGGAAAATTTAATCTCATATAACCTCATCATTTTTAGTTACTTCAGAGTTATTTCATGTGTTTTAACTTTTTCATGATTAGTAACA